CGCGCGTCGGCCGCGCGGGCATGTCGAACTCCTTTCAACACCTTCGTCGCCGACGAGAAGACGCCGAGAGCGTCGTCGGCGTGGTCAGCATCGACGCCGTCATTGGCCGTGCCGTCGTCGTTGTCATCGTCGTCATCAACATCACTATTACCATCATCGTGCCGACCGTTGTCGGCATTAACCTGCTACCGAGCCCGCCAATGTCGCCGATTCGCACTGGAATGCCCGCTGGGAAGAGCCCAGCGGTCAGCGCCACCGCGGCCGCGTCGGTCGCGCCAAGGTAGCTGGCCGCAGCGCGCGCGAGCATGCGCGGGCTAGCGCCGCCGAGATGCACCAGCCAACACAAAGCCGTCATCGCAATCGCGGCCGTATGTGTTTTGCAAACTAAATTGCGGGTGGGTGGGTGGAATGATTGCGCGAGCAGTGGAGAACCGGGATTAATTCTCCTTTCTAAAAAGAGAATAGACTCTACCCCCCCCTCGCGTTATCGGTTGGCGGCCGCACTGCCGGCCCTAGGAGCCCCGTGCGCCCCCGCCCCCCTCCACTCGGGCCGGGCGAAGAGGGGGGGATTGGGAAAGGGGGGGTCACGAAATTTGCTGCATGCAGCTGGTTTCGGCCTCACCGAGGGGCCCATTCCTCGATACATATCCGCCTCCGGCGCCGGGAGGGGCGCCGGGAAAACCAGCTGCGCGAGCTGATTCTCAAAACCCCCCTTTGCTATCCCCCCCTGTCGTCCGACCACCTCCAAGACCACGGCGGTGGCGGCGCTCCGTCGCCGCCGTCGCCGTCGGTCGCGCCGCCGTCGCTGTCGCCGTCGCGCGCATGCCGCGACGGCATGCGCCGTCGCGCGCATGCCGCGCGCGCCGTCGCCGCCGCCGTCGGCGTCACCGCCGCCACCGTCGGCGGCAGCGCGGCGCGCCAGGAGGGGCGGCGAGGACCCGCGCGGTGCACCGCCGGGCTGGCGGCGGCGCCGCGCAGGCCGCCCCGGCGTCGCTTGCGTCGCCGCCGCCGCCGTCGGCGTCGGCACGGGAACCCCCGCCATTCGCTGGCGACGTGCTCTGCGATTGCGATGCTCCCGCCCTTCCTTTCGGGTATGTAAATCACATATGATTCTGACCACATGTCCATCCTAAATATGAAATCGCAATGTCCCAGGCCAGCCGGGTTCCCCCCTGAGGTCCCCTGGAAAAAAAAACACTATGCGGTGTCATTTTTCGTTCTAACATCGCACTTTTTTCACGAATCCCTCGTAAAACATGGGGCGAAGTGCGCACGCGCGCGCCGTCGCGCGCATGCCGAAATCCTCCAAAAACCTTCGGTGCCGGAAGGATTTCGCAATCGCGATTCCAAAAAACATACACCAGCACATGGTTTCGCAACACTGATTTGCCAAAAAAAGCTTGCGCGCGAGCTCTTGCGAAATCTTAAGAAAACCATAGGTTTTTCAATATTTACACAACATGTTACCAAACGGGCTTCGCGCGCGCATGTCGAAATCTGTCGAACGCCCTTGCGCGTGTGCCGTCGCGAGAATCCTCTGCAGAAAATGAAACGAAGTGCAGACGCGGGCGTCGTCACGCGCGCGTATGCCGAAATCCTTCGAGAACCCGCGGTTTCGGAAGGATATCAAAATCGTGTCAAAAAACAGAATAAAAACAAACAACACAAGGTTTCGCAATACGGATTTTCAACAAAAACGTGCGCGCGCGCTCTTGCGTCGTCGTCGGCGTCGTCGTTTTCCGTCTTTCCTGGTCGTCGTCGTCTTGGCGTCGTCGTCGTTTCCGTCGTCGCTGTCGCCGTGGTCGTCGCTTCCTCTTCCCTCGACGTCGTCGTCCATCGTCGGCGTCTCGTCGTCGACCCTCCTATTTCGTCGCCGTCGTCGTCGTCGTCGTCGTCTTCCCTCCTCCCTCGTCGTTGTCGTCGTCGGCGTCGCTGTCCACCCCCTTTCTTCGTCGTTCGCGTCGTCGCCGTCCTCCCTCCTCCCTCGTCGTTGTCGTCGTTGTCGTCGTCGTCGTCCTCCCTCCTCCCTCGTCGTCGTCGTCGTCGTCTTCGTTGGCGGCGTCGTTGTCGTCGTCGTCATCGTTGTCTTCGTCGTCGGCGTCGGCGTCGTCGTCGGCGTCGTCGTCGTCGTCGGCGTCGTCGTCGTCGGCGTTGTCATCGTCGTCGTCGTCGGCATCGTTGTCGTCGTCGTCGTCGGTGTCGTCGTCGTCGTCGTCGTTGTCGTCGTCGAAGTCATTGGAGACGTCGTCGGTGTCGTCGTAGTCGGTGTCGGCGGCGCCGTCGTCGTCGTTGCCGCTGTCGTCGTCGGCGTCGGTGTCGTGGCCAAATGCCATGTGGTACCTTCCGTCAGGGTCTTGTCTTAAGAGGTCTTGCGACCAAGTTGCGGGTGGGAGGGTGGGATGCTTGCACGAGCAGTGGAGAGGACAACTTCAAGACGGCCAAAGTGAATTGCACAACATAGATTAGACCACGTAGACTGCACCACACTTCTTGTAGTACATAGCTTGTCTTACATTGATTACACACCATACATCACACCACATATATTGCACACCATAGTTTGCACAACATCTAATGCACCACGTGCACTGCACCACGTAGCTTGCGCAACGTAAATGGTTCCACACGAAATTGCATAACATATGTTGCATCACGTACGTTGTACCACGTAGATTCCCCCACATGGGCTGCACTACATATGTTGCTCCACGTAGGTTGCTTCTCATACGTACATTTCACAACATGGAACCACAGACCATGAACTTCTCCACACAGATTGCCCCACATAGCTTGCACCACGCAGACAACGCCCAATCTATTGCACAACGTCGGATTCACAACAAAAATTGCACCACTGATATTGCACCACGTAGGTTGCACGACATCGATTTGCGAAACACGATTTGCACAATATTATATATATATATATAATCGCCATACATTGCACCACAACAGACTGTTACACATGAATTGTGTGACATTTATTCTCTTGTCTCGGGGAAAAATAAGCTATAACCGCCTCGGGATTATCGGTGCCCCTTTTCGTATTGAAATTTGCAACATCTGATGATTCTCCATTGTCCACCCTGGATATGAACCATGCCATCCCAGGCGGGCCGGTATCCCACCCCCGCCATCCTCTGCAAAACAACTACGATGCGCGCGCTCGTTTACCACAAATCATCGGTTGGCAGGAATCTTTTTGCAACAAAAACGACACGGAATGCACACGCGCGCGTTGTCACGCGCGCGTGCCGCCTTCGAACGCCTTCGATTCGTAAGGATTTCGAACTCGACTGTCCACAGCACATATAAACATATAGGGCTTCGCAACTCGGGATTTTCGTAAAACAAAACTGCGCGCGCTCTTACAAACTTTTAACAAACCGTTGGTTTTCGACATTTCCACATCATCCAGCCAAGCGGGCTTCGCGCGCGCGATGTCGAAATCGTTTGAACGCCATTGCGCGCGTGCCTTCGCGAGAACCTGTTACAACAAAACAGCGGATAGCACGCGCGCGCGTCGTCGCGCGCGCGGCCACCCGGAATCCGTCAACAACGTTCGATCCGTAACGACTTCAAAACCGAATGTCCAACAAACATCAAGTTTCAAGGAAGCGTGCCCTCGCGCCCATGCGGATACCATATATACTTCCAACGTGTTCATTTGATTATGCCAAACGGGCCCCTGGCGCCGCATGCCGAAATCGTTCACGCGCCCTTGCGCGCGTGCGGGGGGGGGGGGCACGATCCGTGTCAAAGAATACCACGCGGGCCACTCTTGCGGCGCGTCGGCCGCGCGCGCATGTCGAACTACTTCCAAAACCTCCATCACCGACGCGAGGACGCCGATATCGTCGTCGGCGTGATCAGCATCGGCGCCGTCACTGGCCGCGCCGTTGTCGTTGTCAACGTCGTCACCAGCATCGCCACTATCATCATCGTGTCTACCGTTGTCGACGCTGCCATGATACAGTGCCCGCCCAAGCCGCCGACTCGCACTGAAATGCCCGCTGGGATGTGCCCAGCGGTCAGCGAACCGCGGCCGCGTGGGTCGCGCCAGACTAGCTGGCCGCTGCGTGCGCGTGCTTGGGTTGGCGCGGCCGCAAAGATGCACCAGTCAACGGCAAGCATACATCGCAATCGCAACCGCATGGGTTTTGCAAACCAAGTTGCGGGTGGGTGGGTGGGATGCTTGCAAGAGCATGGAACGTGTCAGCTCGTCTGTAAAAACCAGCTGCGCCACATAGGCTGTACCACCTAGCTTGTACTACGTATAGTCCGCCACGCAGAGTTCTGTCTAGAAACATCATGTTCGAGGTCCACGCTGGCTGACGTCATCCTGTCGACAGGAGAATCTCAGGGGGTGCGCGCTGTGTGGCGCCCACGGGGCGCTCACGGGCGCCCACGACTGGGCATTAACTGGGCACCACACGCGCGCCAGCCGAAGCCTCGGAGACCCCCCTCCGCGTGTCCCTATCGGCGAAGAATGGGCGATCGGGGGTCGAGGCATCCCACTGTTAGCCCATCCCCATCCTACGGGGGGGAAAACACATACTCGGAAGTGCGTGTCCGACCCGAGCATACAACCACCTTGTAGTAAATCGTTTCCCCAGCGGAGCGGCCAGGCAACAGCCGCCACGAAGCATATGCTATGAGATGCCGCCGAACGGCCGAGGAAGGCGCCTGAAAGGCGTGTGTGACAGAGATTCCTCGGCGCGCGCGCCGACCCTGGGGGGGCGACGCGCCCACACAGTACTGCTATGTCGTTGTTACGCTTATCCCAGCGTTGCCCCTGACCAGCAGCAAACAGCAACCGAGGCGGGGGCGGGGGGGGGCCGGAGGCAGTGCCTCCTCCTCCTCCTTCTCGATATCCTCCTCCTCCTCCTCCTCGGCAAACTCCTCCTCGATATCCTCCTCCTCCTCGAGATCCTCTTCCTCGATCTCCTCCTCCTCCTCCTCCTGAAGGGGTGCGGGCCCGAGCGGAGGGGGGGGGCAGCCTTGCCGCCGGCCGTTGAACGGCCGACGTCCCCCGCCGCGCCGCCGTCCAGCGGTGGGGCCCTGGCGGCGTCACGAGGCGCGCCCGGCCCCGGGCACCCCGTTCGCCGATCGTCGTGCCCGTCCGTCGCCGATCGTCGTCCGTCGCTGCCGCCGGTCGTGGCCGTGCGAACTGTTGGAGAGGCCGGGGGGTGGGGGCGAAGAGGGAGGGAGGGGAAGACGGGGAAGATGTGGGAGCAGGGGGAGACCGGAGGGAGGAATGGGGGGGGGATGAGGGAGGGGAGGGCATGCGGGTGGAGGGGGAGGAAGGGGTGAAACATACAAGAGAGCGCGGTACCGCGGCCCCTCCGCGGCTTAGACGAGGAACGCCAACTCCACTAGAAGCCATTCGACAGCAATCTTTTATCCATGACGGCACGACGGCCACCACTTCCGACAGCGAGCTCCCCGAGCTCGCCGCGCGGCACCTGCCTCGCGCAGACAGGGCCCGCAGCCCTCGCGCCGACCTGACAAGCGTTAGCTTGGGCATGTCCTGCTACAGGCGGATTTTGGAAGACGAGTAGGCCATAGTAAACAAAGACACTCCGAAACGTCTTCAACATCGAAGAAACATGCCCCCATACTATTTTTGACTATTCTTGAATTCTCCTCCTGTAGAGGCATGCCCGACTGAAGACACGCGCCCTGGCCCATCGGGGGGAACGAGAGGGGGGGATAGCAAAGGGTGGGGTAGAGAATCAGCTCGCGTGGCTGATTTTCCCAGCGCCTCCCGGCGCCGGGAGGCGCCCCTGAATCGAGGAGTGGGCCCGGCGGCGGGGCCGAAACCAACTGCATGCAGCAGATTTCGTACCCCCCCTTTCCCTATCCTGAAGGGGCCCTGGGACACACAAATAAATACACACAAATAACCGGATTCCGAATATTTACGCATATTTTCTTTGTTTTCGTCTCACCCCCCACTTCCCATATTTTCCGATATTTTCCTGGGAGTCGTCGATCAAGTGTGTCTGTGCGTTTCTCTCCCTCCTGATTTTCGTTCGGCCCGAGCCCAGCAGCCCAGCCGTGGGGCGCTGGGCCGGGCGAGCCTGCGCCCGGCGAGGCGCCGTGCGGCGCGCGGCCCGCGCCGTGCCCCTCCGCTGCCATCGCGGCGCGCGCCGCCCCTCCGCCCACGCCGCGCCGCGCGCGGGCCCCCCGCCGCCGCTCCGCGGCGCACAGCCCGCGGCCCGTGCCGCTCGCACGCCAGGGCCGGCGCCCGGCGGCGACCGGCGCGGCGATCACCGGAAACTGTCTGCGGTCGGCGGCCAGGCAGGGGTGGCCTGCGCTGGCGGAGGGAGCTGCCTGGACGGGCGCACCGTTGTGGCGAAGTGGCCAGCATGCAAGAGCGGAACAACGGGACAGAGCGGGCGGCCGCAGAAGCCGGGACGAATCACCAGAAGCGGGAAACCGCCCAGCAGCGCCGACGACGGCGGGCGAGCGCCCAGCGAGTCGAACAGCAGGCCGTGCACGACCACGAGTCCACCTCCGACGCGGGCGCCTCGGCGTCGGCAGCGTCAACGTCGACGCGGGAGGCACATGCGGCGCGACCCAACGGAGCGAGCTTGAGCCAAGCCGACTGGTGGAGGGGGAGAAAAGGAAGGCAGAAAGCAGGGAGCAGGGAGAAGTGAGGCTGGGAGGGTAGGATGAGTTGGAGGAGTTGGAGCAGGGAGGACGCGCTGGAGGAAGGGGAGGGAGGAGGGAAGGGGAAGCCCTGTTTTGCTGTCCCTCTTTCCTCGTCCTCGTCATCGTCGACGCGTCCTCCTCCTCCACCTCCTCCTCCTCATCCTCCACCTCTTTCTCTGGGAACCTGCGGAACTTCTTTCTAAAAAAAAACATGGAACTTGAGACGACCTCCCTCGTGCCTCGTCCTCTCCCCTCCTCCCTCATGGCGCGAATGCGCCTGGCTTGTCCCTCCTCCACTCTCCCCTCCCTCCCCCCCCCTCCCCTCCCTCCTCCCCCGGAGTAACTCGCCAACACCCCCTGCGCGGGCCAAGTCCTGCTGGTCTCAAGGCGGGCCGCTGACGCGCCCTCTCCGCCGGCGGCGCCCGCGCGGCCTCGGGGGGCCCTCGGCAAGGATGGGGGGTAGAGAAGGAAGGGAGGGAGGGGTAAAGAGGGAGGGAAGAAAGGAGGGGGGGGAGGGATGAGGAGAGGAAGGAGGGAGGGATGGGAAGGAGGAGGAGGAGGAGGAGGAGGAGGAGGAGGAGGAGGAGCGAAGATCACCCCCGTCAACAAGAAAGGACGGGGGGGAGGGAAGAAAGGAGGGCAGGGAGGAGGGAGGAGGAGAAGGAATGGACGAGGATTAGGAAGACGGCGACTGCGAAGGAGGAGGATAGATGGGGAAGGAGGGAAAGAAGGAAGTAGGGCAGAACGAGAAGGACGAAGAGGAGGATGAGGACTACGACCAGGAGGGAGGAGGATGTAGGGGGGAGGAGGAGCGGGAGGGGGAGTAGGAGTAGGAGGAGAAGGAGGAGTATCAGAATTGGAGGAGAGGGGTATGAAGGATGAGGAGAGAGGCGGACTGATAAGGAGGTGGAGGAGGCGGAGGCGGAGGCGAAGGAGCAAAAGATGAGCGGTAGGACGACGACGAGTAGGAAGGAGGTGAATGAGGAGTTGGAGAAGCTGAGGACGGGCCACAGAAACAACGATGCAACACACCGTTTCAGAAGAAATCGATCCGATGTCTTTCCACTGCAGACTCCCCTCGCCTTCCCCCAACCTGCTCCTCCGCATCGTTATCCTCCTCCCCTCCCCTCCAAATCGTCCTCACCCCTCTTCAATCATCCCTCCTCCTCCTCTTCCTCCTCCTCCTCTCGCAACAGAACTTGCCATCCAGTTCTGACTCCTGGCACTCTCCAATCCCTGCCCCTGTGCACCTCCACCCCGCGTGACCAGACGTATCCTTCTGAACAACCACAGGCCACTCGTCGATGACAGACACAAGAACGATCCATCACGGGGCCAGAAAACACAGCAAGATCAGAACGGAAGCATCTACTCATCCAGTCAGTTTCCTCGACATCCCCCAGGCTTTTCTTGGAGCATGGTCTGACCAGTACTCCGAGACGAGCCCAGCCATGGCGACGAGGGGCCCCTACTTTTCATGCTCTCCTCAGCTCCTCCTCCTCCTCCTCCTCCTCCTCCTCCTCCTCCTCCTTTCCTGTCCTTCTCTCCTCGGCGTCTTCGTCCCTCTCTATCCTGCTGCGTATTCTCCAACTCCCCTTGCTCATCCTTGTTATTACTCTCCCCTCCTGTCCTTCTCTTCTGCTCCTTCTTCCCTCCTTCCTCATTATCATCCCCCGTCATATGATCCTCCTGCTCCTCGGCCTGTCCCCTCCTTCTCCTCCTCCTTCCGCCTCCCTCCTCATCCTTCATATCCCTCTCCTTCTCCAATTCTGATCCTCCCCCTCCTCCTATCCTTCTCCTCCTTCATTCTCCCCCCTAGTCCCAGCGCTCCCCATTGTTCCACACCCTCCTGCTCCATGTTCTGAAACCCGCAGCGCCGCGCGTCTTACCTCCTCCTCCTCCGCCTCGTGTCGATTCCCGATCCTCACGCGTTGCCTTGGGGGCCAGTGGGCGCGGCCGCAGCGCGGCACCACCCCGTTCCGGCACGCCCCTCACACGCTTGATTCCCCACGGGGAGCTCCACCCAAGGCCACAGCCGGCGCGTACGCACGGCACCACCGCCTCACGTCGGCACAATCCTGCACAATTCGTGACCCCACGGGGAGCTCTGCCTGAGGCCACAGTGGGCGCGGCCACGTCGACAACCCTGACACAATTCGTGGCCCCACGGGGGGCTCCACGTGAGGCCTCAAATGGCGCGGACGCATTGCACCACCACCTCCCTTTCGGCACCCGTTTCGTGGCTCCAGAGGGGACCATACCTACGGCCCAAGTGGCAGGGTCCGTATGGCGGCGCCGCCTATTCCATCGCACCTCTCAGGAGGATCGTGGTCTCATGCGGAACTCCACATGCGGAGTCCGTGGGATGATCCGCATGGTGGCGCCGTTGAGTTCGGCGTAACCCTTACGAGGATCACGGCCCAGAGGGGGAGCTTCACTGGAAGCCCAAGCAGGAGGGCCCGCATGGCGGTGCTGCTTGCTTCGGCGCGCACACAATTAACTAGAGAGTTCCACCTACGGCATTAATACGTCCGCCTGAGTCGGTTGGCACACCCCCACGAGCCCCATCTACGGCCCTTATGGAACAAATTCGCTCGCGTTTCCCTGCGCAACTTGACGTACCCTTTGCACGTCTCGGGGCACTGAGGGAGCTCCGTATACGGCCCAAGTGGAAGTTTGCGTGCGTACCCCAACCCATGTCGGTACATCCCTCACACGGATCGTGCATAGAGAGGTCCACCAACAATGTCACATGAAGCTGCTAAGGGCTGGGTCCCTCAACAGGCAAATGTGTCCTCCTCCTCCTCATCCTCATGCTGGTTTTCCCTCCGTCTTCTTCTCCACCTTCATCCTCCCCCGCTCATTCATCTCATCGTCTTCCCCTTTCAGCCTCATCGTCCGCATCACCTCCTCTTCCCCCCCCACCTTCATCATCCATCCCCCTCAATCTCAATCCCTTCTAGATAACTCCTGCCTGTCGCGCCCCCGACCGTGTCGGTAGGGAGGGGCGGGCATTTCGCCGGATGCTTACTCACAATGCATGATCCTGAAGCTTGACACCAATTACACGGAGGGGGGGGGGAAGCCGCCTGAGCGCCGCACACATACAAATTGCAATATGCACGAAGGACGGAGGGGGAATGCTGACTTGGCATCTCGCCGTCGTGCTGCGCACATTCATCCTGAAAGCATGCATCAGCGACACGGTTGGAGGGGTAGTGCTCTCAATTGGGAATAGCGCCTTAGCGCCGCGCACACTTGTCTGCAACTGCACTGGTGGAAGGCGGCTCGTGGGACTCTCGCCTCAATACACCGCGCACTCAGCCACAAACGCCTGCACAGCCGGTAGAGGGAAACAATTAATGAACACCCCCCCTGCCTCCCAGTCTTAAAGTTGACACGCGCGGGGGAGACTGCGGTCGAGGTGCAACTCATCAGACCCACCCCCATCTTTGAACATTGGGGGGAGGGGGAGGCGTTCACAGATGAATGTGGCATGAGTGTTCGCTATTTTTTTTCGAGGCCTGGCTTACAATGATGGGAGGGTGATTCCTTGTCAGAAGGTGTCTCTCGCTCACGACTTCCTCCAACGGAGCGACCATAAGGTTGAACAGATGCATCGACTGCGCGGATGGAGGATGGTGCCTGCTCAAACTGTTAAGTCGGGCCTGTCCTCCCACAAGGGGATTTTGTACGACATACGGCAAATAAAATATACTCAACACATGCATCCCAAATGGTCAAGCAATACTCAAAAACTCGTCCCCAGACGATGCTTTGACTATTTCAGAATATTCCTCCTGGAGAGGAACGTACCCAGCTTAAACTGAGGCTCTCGCCCTGGAGCTCCCCAAGATCGGCAGCAAGGCTTCGAGCCCGTGAAACAACTGCACGGCTTGGGGGGGGGGGGCCAGGGCGGCTCCTTTTCGAAACGGGGTCCTCGTTGGACACGTCGTGACACTTGATGATCCTATCGACGGAACGGCAGGCCCTCATAAGCTGTCCGCCGTTCAGGGGGGCGCGTCTTGCAGTGTCAGGGGAGGCGTGCAGGGTCCTGCTTGCGAGGGACCGACGGGGGGTGTGTACTGCAACATCGTTGAGGCATTGTGGGGCTGCTCTGGTCCTCCCTCCTCAACTTCCTCCCCGTGCCCCTTTCTCTTCATCCCAGTCTTCCTCATCCGCCTCCTCCCCCTCTCCCAGTTCCATCCTTCTCCTCCTCCTCCTCCTTCTCCTTATCCTCCTCCTCCTCCTCCTCCTCCTCCTTCTCCCTCCTCCTCCTCCTCCTCCTCCTCCTGCTCCTCCTCCTCCTCCTCCTCCTCCTCCTCCCCCTCCTCCTCCTCCTCCTCCCCCTCCGCCTCCTCCCCCATCCCCCTCTCTCATTAGTTTCCTCCTCCCCATCCCCCTCGTCCTCCTCGTCCTCCTCGTCATCCTCATTGGAATCATCATGGTCATCGCCATCATCACCATCATCACCACCAACCTCATTACCATCACCATCACCATCACCATCACCATCACCATCACCATCATCTTCATACTCCGCTTCCTCCCGACTCTACCTCCCTCATCGAGATCATCCTCATCCCACGCCGCCCCCTCCCCCCTGCCTCCAGTCCCCCCTTCCACATCAACTCGTTCCTCTTTCCTTAACAACATACGTAATAAAAAGTCTGCATCATTCGCACCATCATCGCGCTCGTCATCATCACCATCATCATCACAATCCGCATCATCGTCATCACCACCGTCCTCCTCAGCATCGCCATCATCGCAATCATTCCACTCATAAGCGTCGTAACCATCATCGTCATCATCGTCATCATCACCATCAACATCACCATCAACATCATCATCATCATCATCATCGTCGTCGTCGTCATCATCACCGTCACCATCATCACAATCATCATCATCAGCAACATCATCAGCATCAGCATCAACATCATCATCGACACCATCATCAGCGTCGTCATCATCATCGTCACCAGAGCCGTACTCACCGTCGTCATCATCATTAGCAGCGGCATACATCCCATCATCAGCAACCTCGTCATCGAGGTCGTCAGCATCATCATCACCAACAGCATCACCATCACCATCACCATCACCATCATTGGCATCAACACCATCAGCAGCATCATCACGAACAGCATAATCACCACCACCATCATCGTCATCACCATCATCACCGCCACCACCATCAGCATCATCATCAGCAGCATCACCATCATCAGCATCATCATCATCATTATCGTCGTCATCATCATCATCATCAGCATCATCACCATGATCATCATCATCATCATCATCATCATCATCATCATCATCATCATCATCATCATCATCATCATCATCATCTTATCATCACCACCATCAACAACATCATCATCATCATCATCAGCATCATCATAATCAGTATCCCCTCCTCATG